TATGCAGTTCGCAGTTTTCAAATAGCAAATAGGATCGATAAATATGCAGTTCGCAGTTTGCAAATAACTAATAGGATGAATATGCAGTTCGCAGTTTTCAAATAGCAAATAGGATCAATATACAATTCGCAGTTTGCAAATAGCAAATAGTATCAATATGTAGTTCGCAGTTTGCAAATAGCAAATAGGATTAATATGCAGTTCGCAGTTTTCAAATTGCAGTACTTTCAAAGTTTGTGTTCAGTTTAAGTAATATTTATAAAAAATTGGCCCCTAAAAAAATGGCCAGAGAAGGAGGGTTGGCTCCTCTTCAATTTACAATATATTTTACAATGATTAATAAACTGCAGGGGTTATAGGGTATATTTGCATTGGTCTGTAAACGTACACATACTATTTTTAAAAAAAGGTTTTATCTCGGTACTATAAATATTATGTTGTTTGTCTAAATCTCAGTTAAAGGTTAATGCTGAACCAAGTCAAAGAATTACTTAAATCTAAATCACCGACTCAAATCCTTTCTTTTTCTTTAACTTTGAATCGGTGGTTCAAATTTAAACCGGCAGTTGGTAGTTCAGCGACGTAGCTCAAATTTACTAAATTAGGTCCTTGAAGAAGGTTCAGTCTTGAGAATACAATAGAGACCGAAAATTATGACAGGGTATCGAAAACCTCAGGTTTCTTAATTTGGGTGATACTGATATTAATATTTTTATTTATAAATATTATTTTATTTTGAATTCAACAATATTCCTTTAAAATTTCCAGCTCCCAAACACATTAAAACGACAGTGGACATGATTTCAAGTATCCTGCATTTATAGAGTATAATGTCCTATTCACACCGGTACCCTTTAAACTCCTGTTTGATTATCGACGGCGGAGAAATCCGTGTTTATTTATAACAAAAACCTAACTATACATCAGAAATCCGGAGTGTACATTTTAAACTACAAATGGAAGGTCTGTAGAAATTACGTCGCCAGTGAATTTTTTGGTTCATATTACAACTTACCGAAGGTCACCTCAGGAAGTAACGTTAGGGACGACTTTACAGATTTTATTCTTAATTCTATTTCTTAAACTTAGCTCAGCTGAGTACTAATAATTTCTTTGTCTTATTACCGAACATTGATTTAGGAGTTTAAATTTAAATTCAGATAGGGGTATTCTATGGTTGATTAAAAGTATCTTAATTTGACAAGAAATAAGAGAAAATTTGTTCTTAACCTAAAAAAATAATTTTCCTACGGAGTCAGAAGTTTTGTGTTGTGAATCTCAGGATCAAGCATTGATCTCTATCTTATGCAAACCTTAGAACAATTTCATTCCTCTTCGATATCCCGTGGTGGTCATACCCTGCAAGGATAACTTTAATGCAAGGGTAAAGAATTTATCCTCAAATTTAAATGTGTCCGCACTGGATATCGGAATCAGGCGTTTAAAATTACAATGCTACACATAAATATTTTCAGCTTAGGACTTCTGAGAAAAGTAGATGCTATAATATTGACCCTGCACGCTTCAACGTAACCATATAGCATGCAGTGCATGATACTTTGGTTGTATGTTGATTGTTAATATAAGGCGTGAGAATCAGTTTTGGATTGAGCAGTTCATTTATTGTAAGATAATTCTTGTTTTCAGTGATTCATGTCGTTTTAGTTATAGATTAAATGTTTTTGGAATCGGTCAAGTTTTCATTTTAGAAAATGTTTTTCGTGATGTACACAATGTACAGATTTACCTCAAGTTTGATTGGGTAACTTGGTAGAACCACGAGAATGTTCTTAGCTTGGTTTGTCGTGATGTACACAAATGTTCAGATTTACCTCAAGTTTGATTGGGTAACTTGGTAGAACCACGAGAATGTTCTTAGCTTGGTTTGAAAATTCTAAATTTACTAAGTTGTCTTTTTAACACTCAGTGCTAGAAATGGGCCATAAACCCGGCTTGGAACATATGTCTCTCACTTTGGTAATCTTTTTCAATTCCTTGATTTTATAATTAGTAAAAATTATAATTAGATTAAAAATTAAGTAGTAGAAGTAGTAGTACAGCAGTAGAATCAAATTTAAGTAGGTCAGGGTTTAAAACCAGAAAATCTGCATTTGTTCCAGGAGTCCAAGCAAATTAAGAGTTGCAAAGTATGCACTGATTATTATCATTATTTAAAAAAGATTATTAAGAATATAAATTGTATCACAGATTAATAACAATACAGATAGAACACTACAGATGCCGTCTTTTCAAGATTGAATGGTTTTTTGTTCACAATAACCCTGAGACAGAAGCCCAAAGGAGTTACGCGCTTGATGTATCTCTCTCTTGCAATTCAACGCAGCATGCTCGTAACTTCTTTGGGCTTCTGCCTCAGGATTATTGTGAACGAAAACCCCCTAAATCTAAAGTTGGTTGGAGACTGCAATCCTGATGCTTCTGGTTGTTGTCATCAAGCAGTTGGTTGGAGACTGCAATCCTGATGCTTCTGGTTGGTGTCATTAAGCAGTTGGTTGGAGACTGCAATCCTGATGCTTCTGGTTGTTGTCATTAAGCAGTTGGTTGGAGACTGCAATCCTGATGCTTCTGGTTGTTGTCATTAAGCAGTTGGTTGGAGACTGCAATCCTGATGCTTCTGGTTGGTGTCATCAAGCAGTTGGTTGGAGACTGCAATCCTGATGCTTCTGGTAGTAGTTTCGAAGATTTTAGTAGCAGTCCTGATGCTTCTAGAAGAAGTTCTGATTTTCTAGTCGCATTTTTGAAGCTTTTGGTAGCTGTCCTGATGCTTCCTGTTGTACGAGTAGATTAATGAACTTTTCAAGATGAAAAGAAACCTTGATTTGTTAGAACAACTAAATTTTTATCTCCATTATATTAAAAACTTGCAAGAGGCGTCCAGTAAAGGAAAAACATGGAACAATTTCCTATTTTATGCTTTGCTGGGAATTAATTAACCTGACAATAGAAGACAGTTTCAAGCTTGTCCAAACTTGAATAGTATTGCCAAGCATTTGCAGCAAGCGAAGAAGGAATTTTAATAGATATGTTTTTGGGGAGTCAAGTCTCCTAGAGACTTGTCAATGATATAGACTACAATGTGCTCTAGGAAGGGTCGTGGACGAGAACGAGGTAGATATCTGCGTCACCCTAGAGGGTCAGCATTCGGCAAATGAGGTATCCCTGCTCTGGATAATCTTCCCTAGCCTCAAACCAACATTGTCTGAAGGAACTGAGTTCTTGAAACAAACTCTTGTTTTAAATCTTTGCAACCCGATGCAGGAAGCCCCTGATCTTTGATTCCTCCCAACTCCTGATCTGTGTTTCCCCTTACTAGTTATTGGTCTCACACTGTCTTGTATTACTTCAGGATATAGAATTGGTACAGCTATGCTGGTTATATCCTTTTGCTATTCTAAATAGAAGAAAATGTATTGAGATACACTATTTACAATAATGTATATTTGTAAATTTAACCGATATTTAGCAATAAATGTTATTATTCTTATTATTAGGGATTAGGGATTAGAAAATTTAAGTTTGTGGAAGAACTCAGTTCTTTTGCTCTCTAATAAAAATTCAATTACCAGATTTTGATAGACTTTAGAAGTTTATTGATTTTGTTAAAATTATTATTTCAACGGGTATTGAATGTTACAAATATTTCCTCTATGATCTCAAATGTAGCTTTTTAGATAATGGATTAAACTAGAGCCAACCTGTCTTTTAATCTTTGTAATTTACTTACAAACTTATTTTATAAAATATTCAATAAAATCAATAAATATTGTTTTAATAGATATTTTTCTAGAAGGCACAGTTTTTCTTCCGTTGTTAATTGAAGATGTTTAATTATGTATTATTATGATTTTTACAGTGACTGGCACAATTACTACGATGGTGCACATACCATAAAACTTTAAATCATAGATATACAAGAATATAGATCGCTTATGTCGTCTTCACCATATCGCGGAGGGTCACAGTTGAAATTGAAAATGGAAATTTCGCTATGATACTAGCTACTGACATACAGTACATTGGATATAAAGGTTTGCGGCAAGTATATTTGTATTCTGTACAAATTTATGGGGGTTTGTTTACAAATATTGCAGACATACTATATATCTTGCCTGAAGTAAATCCCGTAATTTAAGTTTGAAAAAACAAGTTTTGTCAATGAATGTTCTTCGTTACGTGTCAAAGAATTAATTGTAAAAATTCAAACAAATTTATGTTCTCATGGTGTAAAAAGCTTTTATTTGAAATAAAAAATTAATAAGCTAAACATTATTATGAATTTACTCTTCAATGTTAACAGGAAAAATTGCATAGATAAATAAATAAACATAGATAGCTTATGTACGCAAAATCACCAAGAATTGTACAGTCCGCGAACTCATTCTTCTAGGGGTCAAAGTGTACTTTAATGATAAGCGGGGTGGTTTGGTGTTTTAATGGATTTCATAATTATTAAACCACTCAGGAGTAAATTTTTTTTGAGAATATCAAATTATTTCACTGAGCAATATATCATATTGACGAGAAATGAAGGACATGGGAAGGACTAAACTAACTTAAATTTCTCTCTACAGAACTCATGTACACCACAAGTACTCAATGACAGCCAATGTTCACAACCAACCTAGGTAATCTATATAATTTAGGAATATCTTTAAAATGTACATCTTTCAAGATGAAAAATGTCGTCTTATGCGCAATCTATCTTTATCTATGAAAAAATGTGACTCCTGACTCAGATACGATTTTACAGGATATATTCAGTAATTTTACTTGCATGTTTCTGTACGCTTGTTTCTTCTGTGCCAAACATTTTCTTTTTCATTATAACAATGTTTAGGGCAGATGGCAAAAAACTAACAATAAATGTACTAGAACGTAAGGAGATGATTCATTTGGTGTACCGTTTCTAAGTAACCGAATTCTCTTAGAAATAAAGGAAAGAAATATATTTTTTAAAATTCAGTAGAAAATTCTTAAAGTTTCAAATTCCACGATTTAAATATTTATTTTCAAAATTTCTTATGCTTGACAAATGATACGACATTGCAGTATTTACAGATATTTGTAGGTTTAAACGGTGGCTTGAACATCCATAGTTATTGAATTATGTTTCTCTGTGAATATGATGACTAACGGTAAACCGGTTTCTTCATCACGTATACGGACTCTTTTAGCCTTCACGTACACAACACACATCAATATATTTATAATACAGTGTGATCCAGAAAACTCTGGAAAAGGAAGACGATTTTAGAACTCAAGTTTTCATTTGAAATAGTCCAATGTACATGAGAGACAGAAATGGGTCAGTTTGCACAGACCATTTAACTTTATAATTAATTTTTAAGCTACTAATACAAATTTTTACTTTAACTAATTCAAATATTGGGCTAATGTCGTCTTCATAATTCAAAGTTTTCTGGTTCTCATGAGTGAATTTTGTTTGGTAAATGATTGAGCCTTTCACATTTTCGAAACTAGTTACTCTCCTGCTCCTTCCCTCTCAAAATTTCTATTCCTTATGTCACTGCAACCTAATGTAGACCTTTGATATTTCAAACTGGTTTTGAATGAGTTCTGTTAGATCAAATCGTCAAAATTAGAAACATCAAAGGTCTACACTGTCAGGTTGAAATGATAAAGGCTCTAGAAAATTACTTTTAGACGAATTTGAACTTCATTTACAGACAAAAATGTTTTGGCAGTTACAGTTTAATTGTCCGAAGTTAACAGAGTTTCAGTCGTCAAAATAAAGAACAAAAGTTTGATGTTGTGGTCCTAACGATCCAACAAAGAATAACTATGTTTTAACTAAAGAAATGGTTCCAAAAATCATAACTTTTCGTTGCTACAAGCTTAATCTTACTTTTATGCTTATGTTGTCTTTCTCTTTCTCATTTATTTACAAAAATTGAATTTGTGTGTTATGTTCCTTCTGAAGAGTTTCCTCTGTTTGTTGTTCATGAATACTAGTTTCTCTGAATACATCCATATCTATTTCAAGATCATTCTCAGTAGCATACTCTTCTATATCCTCCAGTGTAGTAAACCTGGATATAAAAACTTGAAATTTTACGCCTTATTTTTGAATTATAAGGTATAACTGACCTATCCCCCTGTGGTGACCAGTAGATTGTAATATATCCGCTAGGAGCGCTACCGTCGCGTATCTTCTCGCAGACCCAGTTGTTCGGGAGTGGAATCAACAAATCATCCTTGGAACTGGAAATTAACATTTTTCATTAGAGAATGTTTCTCAACAGAACTTATTAACAAAACTTTAAACAAGTTATTTTATTGTTCACCTCAGTTTCAATCCTTCGTCCTCTGAATCATCGTCCTTCCCTTTACTGTCCTCCTCCCCAGCCTCCTTCTTCTCCTTCTCCTTCTGCATTCTTTCCTGTCTCTTCTTCTCTCTCTTCTTCATCATTTCCTGGGCAACCTGGTAAAACAAAACAATTATAAATGCATGCGTTAAACAATCACAGAGTTCAGTTTGAAACAGAGGAACTTTCGCAACAAGAACGTTATTTTCTAAAAATTTTGTATGTTGAAATAAAAGGTACATAAATGCTCTCGGGCATTATACAAAATGTGGCAAAAATATAAAAGTTAACGATTTCTTGCTAACCAGCACGGTGTCCTTGTAAAATGTACATCAGCAAGGCAATCTAGAAAATAAGAAGAAGCACCCGGCATGTAAAGATGAAGATAAACATGATTAAAAACCATAGAGAATAGATAAGTATGGAGTGGAATTAAGTCGAAAAAGTGTAAAACCGCCATTTTGTTGTGCTGTTTCCACACTGCAGAGCCCAAAACTTAAGACAGGGTTTCCTTAAGAAAACCAACGAATCCGGGTTTCACGGATGGGCTTATGCAGTGGATATAAATATTTTTGTTATGAAATATTATGTTATGTCGTTTCTTCATATTCTCCATTTATATTGAATCTCTTAAATCAAAATCTACAAAAATGTTAAGACCCCAAAAAGGAAACTCTAAGGTTTCGTTCAACGATACTCTTTTAAATTTCGGGCTCAGGTGTACTTCACACATTTGTGCTATATATAACCTTTTGTAATAATTATTTATTTTTCTCTAAATCAATTCTCTGAAAACCTGTCATGATTCATGAATTCCCAAGTTCATCTCAGCATAAGCTTTACTTTACATTCCCAAGTTTATTTCAGCATAAACTTTATATATGTATTGCGTAATATTTGCGACATTTACATGAATTTTACACTTTGAACTTCTCTTCAGGCTCAAAGGGACTGAACAAATCCATACCAAGGGATAGTCTTATTTCCCTTCTATTCTGATATCTGTTCTGTGTTAAAAACTCAACAACACGTCAACTACCCAAACTACTCGAAATTGAAAATAAATGTAAATATTTGTATGGTGCTTTAACAGACAGATTCATGAAACGTAAAAACAACAACATTTGAGTAAACTCAAGATGAGATGTTGTGTCATATCAATTTGTATTTTGAAAATATCAAAATGGACAAAAAAAATAATTTTAGGAAAAATATCGAAAGCCGTAAAGTTTCTATTATACACCTGATAAAATTTGTTCACAAAATCTAAAAAAAAGGGATTTAATGTTTATTGTTTTTTAAAAATCCCACCTTGGTTAGATATTCCAGCCTTCGTCTTGTAGCTCGTGAGCTTTCAGATAGTAATCTCGGCTGCTTGGATATACCTACAGTTGTAAACCGGTTTAAAGGGGAATAGAAGTCGTCTTTAGTAAGCCTTTTGACGTCGTTAAGGATTTTATAATCAGTCATAACTTAAAAACATCACAAATTACAAAATCTGTTAATTTCTAATCAGAATTGAAAACAAAGACGACTAATATTTAAACATTTAAAGTTTTTAGGCCTTTTAAAGACTTCAGAAGAATCTAAGATGAAAATTCTAATTCAAAATTGCAGGATAGACAAGTTTGCTTTTATTGCACCCAGAAAAATCTTTACTCTGATTAAAGAAATTACCAAAACGAATTTTCAAAACGATTAGTAAATCGTTCTTCGTTTTCCGTTTTGATAAATACATTTATTGTGGTGAAACTATTTTTTATTCTAACTTTCTTCTAAATAAACATCTAAAGTAAATGAAACTTACTTTTCTTATTTTTCTTCGTCATGAGTTGTTCCATCTCTTCCTCTTCATCCTCCTCATCCTCCTCCTCCCCAGGAACATAATCAGAAAACTTGGCTAAACAATAATTTCAGAGATATTTATTTGTTTCTCAGAACATACATTTTTTAAAGGGAGGGTTCGCCAAAAATTGAACGGGGTATAGGCATGTCGAAAAAATATATAAGGAGAGAATATCCGACTCAGATCGTAAAATCAATTTTTTAATTCCAAACAAATCATTTAGATATTACAACCTATAACCATCGATTTTTTCGACGCATTCGTATACAGTTGATATTTCATAATATATTTTATTTGTTTTATATATGATGCAATTTAAACGACGATTAGTTGGCCGCTGCAGGTGTCTCTGCTCTCGATGTTTCTGCATGGTTCCACGTACAAGAGACACCTAGCGGACAAAAAACCGTTGTTTTAAGTGCATTCTATATGAAACAAATAAAATATATTATGAAGTATCAACTATAATGCGTCGGGGAAAAAAACGATGGTTATAAGTTGTAATATCTAAAGGATTTGTTTGAAATTAAATTTCTTTTTTTAACGATCCAAGTCGAATATTGCAACTTTCTGAATTTGTATGGACGCTACGTTCTTTGGTAAGAGTCGTTTTTTAACAATTTTTTCCTTATTGACGCAACGGATAGAAATAAAATTAGTAGCAATCACCATCGAATATTTTTGCGAACACTCCCTGTAAATAAACTTTTCTGAAAATTATATGAATTTTTCAGTCTCATTTTTTGTTAATTTTATTTTCATTAATAATAGAAATACTAGATTCACGTTAGTTTCTATTAAATAATAGAAAAAAATCTAAAAGTCATGTTTTTATATTTGTTATGTTTTCAAGTTTAGCAATAAAAAAATGACGATTTTATTCCAAGTCATCTACATTTAAGTCATTTAAAAACAGTTGAGAAATTTGAGAAAATTTTAAACAAAAAATGTAAAAAAAAGTAAAAGTATGCAAATACCTTTCATAATAGAGAGTAGATCTCCTATTTTAGGAGGACGGATAACACCACTGTCCCTGGTAGTTGTCGTCTTCTTCAGAATATCGTCTTCCTTGGGATCTTCAGGCTCAGCTTCCTTCGCGGGTAACCTGTCGTATTAATAGAACTGTAAATTAATTAATTATGACTCTTCATCTATAGAGTCAGGTCCGATATACTACGGTGTTCTTAGAAGCTTTGTCTGAACAAGTATGATTTTGATATCCATGTTTTTGTTGCTGTAAACCGCTTATTTTCATTTGTGGGTTATCTGCAAAAGTTACTTGCGTATTTCGCATATTATTCTCCTGGAACAACGAAGAAATTGTTAAAATTGAAGTCAAGCGCTTTCAAGTGGAGAGTCAATAAAAATTACAACGACATCTTCTTTAGTTCAATGAAGATAAAGAAAAAAGGGGAAAATGTCTTTAAATGATTTGTTAATTTTCCCAAAATAATAAAATTGAATACTCTCTACACATTTAGAAGCATTTTGCTCCAACTTGATCTTTGAAGTCAAGGCTTGTAAAATAATTTCTAATTAATACTAATTACTAACGTTTTAGCCGGAGTTACTTGAATTTGAATCATACATTCTTGTCTCAACCGGTGCAATCTAAATATATAATGATAATGATAATGATAATGATAATGATAATAATAATAATAATAATAATAATTGTAAATAAAAAGTCAATTCAAGACAAAATAATTATTTATATTTATACCAGGTGAAATACAGTGAGACCTATAAAACTGTGGAAAAGGAGAACAACATTTAGGCAATCTTTTGTGTATTTAATGTTGAAGTAAACAGTTATACAAGTAGCTTGAAGCAACTTATTCAGTGAATTGGGTTTGTGTACACTACACCATTGCTTTGTTTCATATTAATTGAATTATGTAAAATCAAAACTTCAGACGTCTTTCTTTTCCATGATTTTCAGAAGCTTACTGTAAAAAGATTATAAGATTTGAATTTAAACTGTTTGTTACAATCCTTCTAGAACTGCAGTGAAATTACAGAAACTTCTCTTTAATCCAAGTTTATACCTGAGAGATCTGTAAAGCTTGTAAGGTCCACCACAATTAGAACAAGTCCAAAGAACTTCCTTAGATAGCATTATTTAGTATCAAGCATTTAATTATTCTTTATTTCATATTTATAATTAATTTATACAACAAATAGATTTCAACAAAAAATGTGAGAAATATTTCTCAGCCAACTCTATTTCTAATATTTTAACAAAGAGACAGGATTCAAAGAAATAATTTCTAACTCTTCTTTTATGCTTTACTGTTTCAGGGATGGTTTCATAAATAATTCATCTTAAATTTGTTCACCCCTTATTATGTTAAATTTGACTTTGGGCACAAAAAAAACTACTAGTTTTTGGGACACAATTCGATAATGAAAAAGAAGTATAAAATATTCTAACGGACTAGGTATCTAACGTTTTCTACTAAACTTACCTTTTCCTTTTGAGCTTGAGCCTTAGCTGCTGGCACCTTCTCAACAGACTTCTTCGAGTGCTCGCTAAAATACAAGTTTATCAAATAATCTTTGTAATTTTTCCTCATACTCACCCTTTTTTTAAAACAATAACGTTGCCATGTTCATCATTATGAATATATTTTTATAAAACAATAACATTGCCATGTTCATCATTATGAATATATTTTTATGGGAAGTCCCGGAAGGGTAATTTTTAGAAGGACAATTTTATGTGGATTTGATTCGCAATAATAATAAATATTAAAATCATCGTCAGTACAGTCTGTAATCTGGAAGTTCTAAAAGACAACCGTAAAACCACAAAATTTATCCTGTATAACATCTCAGTTCTTCTACATTAGGTTTTGCTTAAAATAAGAGCCCGAAAGTTTTCAATGATGATTATTAAAATATTTTTAAAAAAAGGTTTCTTTAAAAACATACTTGAATAGATCTTCCGTTTTGTTAATATATATATTAAGTGTATTTAATAAAAATTATTATATAATTTACTTGATAAAACTCATTTTATAATTTACTTGATAACAATTATTTAATAATTTACTTGATAAAATTCATTTTATAATTTACTTGATAAAATTCATTTTATAATTTACTTGATAAACATTATTTAATAATTTACTTGATAAAATTCATTTTATAATTTACTTGATAAAATTCATTTAATAATTTACTTGATAAAACTCATTTTATAATTTACTTGATAACAATCATTTTATAATTTACTTGATAACAATTATTTATAATTAACTTGATAACAATTATTTAATAATTTACTTGATAACATGATTTGACAGATCCTCTGTGTTGTTAAACTCCCTTCCACAAACACCACACTTTACAGATATACTCATATCATCCTCTAAATATATACAACCAATTAATCAATTAATCAATTAATCAATTAATCAATTGAGCAATAAACCAAATGATCAATTAATTAATTACAAATTAATCATAACATTTTCTCATCAGAGAAAATTTTAAAATAAAAAATTAAACAATTACAAATGGTGGATGTCAATGTCTACTACACTTAGTGTTGTTAATCCTTTTAAATCGGGTTATAAAGAAAATTTAATAAAACTTTCAAGATTTGAAAACTGTATTATATTAGAGTTTGCTTTTATTAAACTTTGCAATATCTTTATTCTAAAATAAAAGGGTCCGAAAACGATTGCGTTAACATATGTTCGTTTTTGCATCGTTTTTTTGCATATATCTTCTGCCTATATAACTACCAAAAAACAGAAGTCTACAAGAATAGGTTCACACCCTTTGCTAACGTTGATTGTCAAAGTCTACCAGTACCACAGTTAACAGTTAATTAATCAATGATCAAATGAATAAAGATGAACCTGAATTATCCTCAACCTCCTCCTCCTCGTCTAGAACAAGATGGTCCTCATCCTCTACACCTGCAGTATCCCACAAACCCTGAAGTACTTCATTCTTCAATTTTTTAATCATTTAGAAAAAATTTATTTTCCATTTTCTACTTTAGCAATGGCGCTAAATGAATGGGGTTGATTTTTTTTGTGGGGGGGGGGTGTCAATATTTTCACTAATCTTCTATTTTTCAAATCCAACCTTTAACATGACGCATCTACTATATACGCAAGCTACCCAGCCTTACGCAAAACATTGTTGCCAAAATACTACTCGCAATACCTTCCGCTGTCTGGTTGCAATCATATAAATAGTTTGTAAACTAGTAAAAGCCTCTCTGTTAAAAAGTTACCATGATCAGTGAATAAACGTCCATTACTCAAACTAATCTTTTCAAGTAAGTCATCTTTTTTCATAGAAGTGTTAATTAGAATGAAAAAGAGGTTTTTTTAGTCTTTTATTGAAGTACGTTTTTTAAGTTACTCAGGGGGGGGGGTGCATAGGTTCTATGAGTGATGTTGCCCATTATGAGCATTTTGTGAAAATTTTAGGTTGATCTGAGCTTTGCATCAGGTTCAAGTCATTTTCGGTTTTTCGGCAGAACCTTAATTTTCGATAGAGAGCATTGACCTCCAATTGAAAATTTTCTTGTTAATCTGTTAATTGGAGGCTTTATGCAAAAATTTCGGCTTTTTATATAAATTTTTATGCAAAATTTGGTGACACAAAGTGTCGAATTGAACAAAATTCGAGATTTTTTTTCTGAAACTACTTGCACATAAGTAAATAAAGTTAAATCAACATTTTTTTGCATTTCAATACTAATGTTTGACATCACCCATAGAATCTAAGCACCTTTTAATTTCTGATTTTCACTTTTTGTGTGTCCCCATACAAAATCTTTATTTAAAAGAAATAGCCTAAGCTATTTTAAATTCTTTAACTTCACTTTTAAACTCCCTTGATCCTCCAACCCCCCCCCCCCCTCCATTTTTTAATCCCACATTATTTTTTATAGCCTTTCCGGATAAAAAAATACAACGATTTTTGGCATTGTTTTTTGTTTATTGTAATGAATGATTGATTCTTCAAATTCATTGTAAAATGTAATTTAGAGAAATTTTAAACCGAAAAAAGTTTTAGGCTTTTAAAATTTTAATAATTTTAACCTTTTTAACATGTTCTTTATTATCCTGTTGATCAGGAGAGTGTCCTCGTTTCCTTGAGGCTGGTAGAATATCCTTCTTAGAATCAGTTTCAACCTCGAGACTACAGTTTGTGCAATCACACGGATCCCTTGGAGAACAACATTTAAGAAACCAATTTGCATTTTCTTGTTGGATATTTTCTAATTGAAATTATGAAAAATGACAAGTTTCTTATTTAGAAGCAAACTGATAAGTTACTATATTTAAAAATCAGTTTCTTGTTTAGTTATATACAAGGTCACCCGCAGCACAAAGGATAAGACTGTAAATGCGACTTGAAAGCTGAAATATGACGCTCCCAAGATTAAAGAAAGTCTTCTGTTCTCAATGTAGTCTTTAACTGGCCTACTGAATGTTTAAAGAAAGAAAGATGTAACCCTAAAGTCAAAGAATAAAAAATTAGTCCAAAGAGCGTTAGGTAAGCTGAAACACAAGTAGCTTAACCTTTTCGTTATATATTTTTTAACCAGAGGTTTTATAATTAAAAAAAAATACTTACATATTATCCTCGTCATGAGTCTCCATATGTTTGAGATAAATATGCTGGTTGTTGGATGTAAACACCTTTCCGCATGCAGTACACTGGAACCCATCCTCACTACTCCTGTGCTCTCTACGTACATATTTGTATAAGCATAAGGTTGTACAATATACAATATATATAATGTAAAATAATTATGTAACCGACATAACAACTAGAATCAAGATTCCAGAAGGAATTTTCGATCGAACCTCATGTATTCTCTTTATTTTTGTATTTTCCTGATATGTTCCTGATGCTAGTAATTACCTGATATGTTCCTAATACTGGTATTTACCTTATATGTTCCAGATACTAGTACATTTACCTGATATGTTCTGATACTGGTATTTACCTGATATGTTCCTGATACACTCGTATTTACATGATATGTTCCTGATAATGATATTACCTGATATGCTCCTGATACTGGTATTTACCTGATATGTTCCTGATACTGGTATTTACCTGACATGTTCCTGATGGTATTTACCTGATATGTTCCTAATGGTATTTACCTGATATGTTCCTGATGTTCGTATTTACATTGATAAACTTGACCACACTCCCTGCAGTACCAAACCTTCTTCCTCCTCTCTAACAACAAAATGTTAAGATTAGAGAGATTAGAGAGAAATGTTTGGTGAGAAACAATTTTTTTTCTCTCGTAAATTCTGTTAACTGATAATTTTTGCTTTAAAGAACCAGGTAATAAGTGTGTAGTGCAGTAAAGAAATGTTAGAAAAAAAAAACATATGTATTAAGGATTTAAAAGTTATATTTATACTACAGGGTGTCCCAAAAAACATGGGAATTCAGTGACGAATTCGATATCGTCTTTTTAAATAATTCTTTGATTTAGTATAGTGATACCTAATGAGAAAGCTGTAATATGTAAGAGTTTCGTCTGCTATGTTTACAATTTGTGTGTTTATGTTTTGACTGCATACGGTTGTACTTAGTAAAACAAGAAAATTGCAGTATACAAACAGAGTAAACTTGTCCGTCTTCACTGTTCATCGTGCGGAGACATTATAGACACATCTTTACAGTCTTCTACCCTTTTCATAAAATAAACTCTAGCAGACATAATAATATTATTGCTTTTGAAATTATGTATTACAATGCTAATTCATAACAAAGACGATATCGAATTCGTCACTGAATTCCCATGTTTTTTGGGACACCCTGTACAAGGCAAATAAGTAGAATAATTGTTAATTCAGATTTCATAATAATGAAAAGGTGAAAATCGCTGAAAAAAAACCAGTTTTGACAAAATAAGAAAAGGTTTGCATTAGTCTTGGGAAGTTGGGGTTCGACTTAAACATAATAGCTAGTCCTCATTAGTAATGTATATAATTTAGTTTTTTAATTACAAAGTTTTAATATTTAATGAATCATAAACACCAAATTGTTTGTTCAGATCAGCAAAGGTTTATGATGAAAACTGTTATTTTTACCTAAATGTAGCTTTGAATGATGAGATTTATACGCAGCTTCATTTTTCAACACAACATTGCACAGATCACAAAAGAAGTATTCATTTTCACTAAATATAGAAAATGTACAAGTGGAACAAAAAACAAAACAAAAAATAATTTCAGGATTATTCAAAGAAGGTAACTAATTACTCCAAGCATATCTTTATTTTACAATATTTGAAGTATCTAAGTGTTAAAATATCAGGTTACAAAGATATAGGAATTGAGGATTTAGACTTTTTCTGTGAAAATTTTTTTTAACACTATCCGCGTAATTTAGATTAATGTTTGCTGCCCATTGATCAAAGGAAAATAAATTGCAGATTAAGAAAAATATATTAATCAATTGGAATTATTCTGATTATTTGATTGATATATCATGGTATTATCCCACCTATGTGAAGTGTGAAGGTGTTGTCTGTATTCTCGATCATCTTGAAATTCCTCAGAGCACTCTTCACAGCTTCGTTTCTTAATAATTAAATTCATATTTTCAGTTTTATTCAATTATTTATAATTTCCTAATTCACTGTTCCCTGTTCCTGTTCCAAAAACCAAACATTATTACCTCTCCTACTTTGTTCTGCATCTCCTTATGTATCTCAAGATAGTTGGACATGTGGTGTCTGAAAGAAAACAGAAATTAAAAAATCTCAAAAATGTTGATATGATGTTCTTTGTACTTTTTCTTATATTAAGTTGGAAATCTGTTCACCTGTATGAACTATCCTTGAGGAACCCAATATGACACAGCTGACAAAAATATTTAAAGTCGTCTTCGCCCACTTTCTTCCCCTAGAATATTTTACCAAATAATAAACACACTTCTTCTACTTTCTTACGCTAATATATTTTACAGAATAATAAACACACTTCTACTTTCTTCCCCTAGAATATTTTACAGAATAATAAACACACTTCTTCGACTTTCTTCCCCTAGAATATTTTACAGAATAATAAACACACTTCTTCGACTTTCTTCCCCTAGAATATTTTACAGAATAATAAACACACTTCTTCTACTTTCTTTTCCTCTGTACATATCATACATACACTGTACATGTCATACATATACACTGTATGTTATAAGTTCCTACACTGTATATTTCAAGTACGTAGATTGTTCAGTAAAATAAATTTACTTTATGTTTTCCTCCAACTGACCTAGCCTACTATACCTGCTATGTGAAAAGGGATAATTTGAACATTTTTTAAAACGCTGATGTCTACGGAAAGGTATATTAGACTTTGATTCTGGCTACAATACGGAATTAGGAAGTGGGCAATGACCAAAAAGACTGTTAAGGGTGGGGCACTTTATGCACTTGTTAACTTCCTTCTGTCATGAAGAAATCTTTCCTATGAACTTTAAACCCTCGCGGTTGGAAATATGAAAAAACTATTCGTCAATTAGCAAGACCGAGCTCTGACTTTGAGAAGTCTCGATAGGTTAGATAGATTCCAAAATTGTTAAGTATTTGATTTATGTTGAGTTTTGAAGGAGTGATTGACAAAATTCTGAGGCAAATGTGAATATTGTAGATCATATGAAAGGTACAACTAGTTGTACCTTATCTTCTTGTTTACTAATCCCATGGTAGGACATCGTCATCTTCTTAAATATCTCGTCCTCTAGATCTCCTCCTTCAGCCTCTTCAACCTCATCCACAACCTCATCCTCTTCTTTTACACAAACATTATCACTAAAATATAAAACTCTCTAACTATAAAACAACGTGGCTCAATTTTATTTCTTCATGATTATTTTTTTATCATTTCAAATAAGATTTGTTTAACTACATCACAACTTATTTACATAATCAACATTCATCTATTTTCATATTATTATTAATTAATTTTAAGTTTGATGGACCTTTCTAGGTTACAGTAAAGAACCTGTCAAATCTTTCCCTGGGATGTTTAGGAAGATGAAAATTTCCCTGTATGATAATTGAAGGACTGCAGTATGGATTTGGTGAATCATATTAACGTACTAAGCCTAGGGGTGTCAGAAATGATTTTTTTTGCATTTTTTTGAACACGTCCCATAAACCTAAAAAAGTTTAATTTTGATAAAACTTTTTGTTCTGGATGATTGCAAATATCTATCTCAAACTTTCTTAACCCAGCATATTTTTTCTATATTCATTTAGTTAAGAGTTTGAGTTAAAATAAGTATTGATAAATATTGCTTTATATCGAGTAGATATCCTTGAACATATCGATGTGAAACCTTTCAGAGAGTAGGAAAGATTCTGCAGAAAAAAGTTACCAAACCAAACAGAATTTTAACCCTCAAGGGTCAGAGCAGGATAATGTCTTTATCCGAGGAAAAGAGGTAGTTTGGAAACAATTTCTAAATATACCAAAAACACAAAAACAAGGAAATCTAGAAAATTAATTAGAAACAGGTTTTAAAAAATAGTTGAATCCCGCTATTTGATAAAATACTTTTCTTGTCTGTCTGTTTGTATTCAATAAACTAAACGTCTAAAACGGCTAAACCGATCGGGCCTTAAAAGCAGTGCATAGGATCCATTTAATTTTGATGCGGATCCGGATCCTGGATCCGCACTGGAAAACAATTTCTTTAAGATTTACTGAATTTTCATTTCTTTAAGATTTACTTTTTTTAACAAAAAATAATTTTCAAATTTTTGTTTTATTTTTTTCGCTTATTTTTATCCTAAAACTAAATGAATCATTCAGAAATGAGGAAATTTTTAAAAAAATTTTAATTTTTAACACTTGGATCCGGATCCGTGGATCCATGAAGCCAAAATCTTGCGGATCCAACGGATCCGGATCCTAAGCACTGCTGAAAAGCATATGTTTGATAAAATATAAAAAAGCAAGATATTAAAAATTTATTTAACGAACCTTCCAGCAACTGATAAGTTTGCCAATTTTATTAATTTCAACCCTGAAGGCTGGTCAGCCTGGTCAGCCCGGTCAATAGATAAAGGATCCTTCAATTTTGGAAGAACTGGTTTCAGTACACTAATACCTGATATCATTAATTTTTTAATAATAATTATACCTGGTTTAGCTACTGAAAAAATAGTTTTCATGTTATTTAATACTTCACTCGAAACTAGAAGTTTGGATGGTGTAGAAACAGGTTTTACAGTCTGTTTATAAACTTTCACCAAAACCGGTTTTCCTTGACCCACCGACTGAATGATATGATTAGTTCCAGGTTTAGCAGTAATCTTTTTGACCTGTACGGGCCGTACAGGCGCTTTAACTTGTACCGGTACTCTAACCGGCCCGACTGTGGATTTATTTGAGTCTTTTCTGAGACCAGTAGAAACTTTAAAGATTTTTCCTCTCTGCTCCGGGACTAGTATATTCTTTATATCTTCCTCAGCTTCCATTCTACAAAAATAAAAATCATTAGTGAATTGGAATTATTTTAAAGCAAACACTTTTACAAAGATTGCTTCGACAATTCATAGCTTCATATTCCTTTATGGCAGAACTTTATGTTTTTGTAAACAAAGTTTATAAAATATTTCTTCATCATTTTTGGGATAACGACATTTATGATTCTTTAAAGTCAGGGGCAGGTACAGGAATTTACTAAGGGGTAAGGAAACTCAGAATTTTCTCTCCATTTTGAATTGCTCCCCCCCAATTCTTTAGAGGGGGGGGGGGGCAATTTTGTGAGCCATTGCTCCAAAGCTCAAAACTGTATCCGCTCATGCTTAAAGTACTTTATTTTTAGTGAAAATCTATAAGATATTACTTGACTATTGGTTCCAAGATATTGTTGTCTTTACAATATTCTTCGTTCTGATCAATGGTGTCAGTAGGCTCAGCTATATCATCAACAATAGAGATGTCAGCAATATCATTCCTAATCCCAGCTTACACATTATATATTTTCAAGCACAGAAATATCTTTCAAAACTATTTCAATAACATCTTCAACTTCTGACCGTGACCACTTAGAGAGAAAACTATTAGCTCACTCTTACGTAGATGTCGTGCTTTATTAATGGATAGTATGCACTCTAATTTAACAGTTCAGTACTTTAATGGATAGTATGCACTCTAATTTAACAGTTCAGTACTTTAATGGATAGTATGCACCCTGATTTAACAGTTCAGTACTTTAATGGATAGTATGCACGCTGATTTAACAGTTCAGTACTTTAATGGATAGTATGCACGCTGATTTAACAGTTCAGTACTTTAATGGATAGTATGCACGCTGATTTAACAGTTCAGTACTTTAATGAATAGTGATTTAACAGTTCAGTACTTTAATGAATAGTATGCACGCTGATTTAACAGTTCAGTACTTTAATGGATAGTATGCACGCTGATTTAACAGTTCAGAGCTTTAATGGATAGTATGCACGATGATTTAACAGTTTGGTAATTTAGTGGATTTTCAAAATTTTCAAAATCGAATTTTGTTAAGAGGCAAATTTTTTAAAATTCGATCATCCATAAACCTACCCTAGGGTCACGTGAGGCCCAACAAAAATTTGGGCCCGATCGGTTCACCCGTTTTGACGTTTATTGGATACAACAAACAGACAGGCAAACAGACAATCAAAGTATAGAAGTCAAAGATAGGCCTAATGTTTTCTACCGATCTTAGTTTTTTTTACAAACCCTGGAAGATTTATAAGAATTAAAAAATATTTTAAGGTTTATCTTTAATGGACAAAAAAAATGAAAAACGGTTTGGAATTGAGGTTCTAACTTTTATTATAGACCAAAAAACCTTAAAAACAGCATCAAAGTTTAAATAGTTTGATATTCATATGGTACTAGCTTGGGAACCCAGCTTTCCCTGGAACCTAAACTTTCGCTATGAAAATAAACCTACTAAGCTTCAAACAATTCCCGTTGTTCCACCGAGTTTCCCAATTAAAATTTGAGGCAAATCGGTTAAGGGGGTTCCTGTCTTATGTTCGTACAACCAAGCAAACAGAGAGACAGACAGATAGATAGATATAAAATATAGATATGTGTATTTTCCTGTTGTGAATTATACTGTTAAGCCTTGGTATTAACCGCTGCTGATATTCATACTAAAGCAAAAAACAATTATTAAAATGATTCTCTGTATAATTTTCACTCCATATTTTAATTTTATTATGGGTTAACCCTCAAAATCTCTTTTTGTTCCAGCTCTTGACAAAAAATTTGTACATTCTAATATAATCATAAGTTTCGAATGAGTTAAATGAACGTAATATGGCTTAAATCAAATTTTAAAAACACCCCCCCCCCCCTAAAAAAATGAATTATTATTATTTATCTTAAAACTCTGTCTTACCTTACAATCCATACAGATATTTCCACCTGAATAAAAAATGTATAATTTTTTTTCTCTACATTTCTACATAGTTTAGGAGGTTCATGAAGTAAACTAACAAGATGTGATAATATTCAAACTTATATCTATGGAGCCTGATGGTGTAAATCTTTGATATTATCAAACTTTAACGTTTTGATCTCACAGAATTCATTGTTTTAAATATCAAGGTATACACTATACATCATTAGTTTACTAAGATAAAAGGATTAGAAAATTAGAGAACAAAAATTGGTAAACATATGTCCCTATCGGTTGTACGTGCTTATTGTAGAATATTGCTAAGATTATGATAAATGTAGTAATAACTTTTTAAGACCATGAAGCAAAATTTGTTTGATGTTACCTATTGGAAGCACTATGGAGTCGTGCTTTAGTATAGTTTTGGACATGGCATAGGTAACAGTGCACATGACAGTGCAGTTTGCAGTGTCAAACCTAGAAAAAGTTAAAAAAAATAATAAAATCTAATAAAAAATAATTTTTCAAAAATAAAAATCTTTGGTTTGCGTGTCGTAGTGTAAATTTTTTCCCGATCAACAATTTCAAATTTAAAGTTGTTTAAAAAAGATAAGACGACGGGAAAAAAGTTTTTTAAATCGCCGAAAATTGGTCATACAAAATCGGGCCTTTTTGTTAAAAAGTTGTTTAAATGTTTTACCTGTGGCCATAATGACAGCAAGTATGTTGGCTCTTCCAATCATGCAGTAGTTCTCTAATATGTCTCTCACATATACTCCAGTCTAAACAGTTTTTATTCAGAAAGTTCTAGGTGTATCAGAACCTTCATCTTTGTTTTTAACATCTGGGAGGAATATGCTGCCCTGTCTCAAGATTAGTTAATATTCCTCCCGGTAATGTGCTAGAAATACACCAATGGCATTTCTAAGTGTATATTGTACAGTGTACATAATATACCTGTCTACGTATTGTTTATATAAGAAACCAGGGGGGATGATAGTTCTCTACCTGTGTACGTGCTCAGTTAGCTGTACTGTACACTTACAACTGTTAACTAATAATGATATAATATAGGTTAGGCCAGAATCTCCTTATAATAATCAAATATGCAGTACGCTCTCGGTATAGTTCCTGGCTAAAACAATTAGTAAAGGATCAGCTCAGCGTACATCATCACTCTATACACTATAACCTCGTTGTAAGAAACTTAATCAGAAATCCAAACAAAGTTCATATTCTTTTCTTAATTTGTATCTACTTGTTCTATTAAGCATGAGGGTGCGTAGTTCATTTACTTTAAAAACCCAACCTTATCTTTTGAGTCATGTTTCAACTGCAAAATATTTAAAATAGTACTTAAAGGGACTGTTCACATAATTTCAAGTGATTCTTTACTGTGGCACGCCTGATTCACAACAGTGCCCTTTATAGCTTTTCTTTATAAAATATGAACAAGATATCCTTGTTTTTTTTAGAACTGTTTTTTCTTCTTTCTGGTTTCTTTGCAAAAATGACTTTTTTTTAGAAACAATCAGAACTAAACACTCTTTAAGGCAGAAAGACAATGTTATCCTTATGCTCCTGTCCGGATTAGACTCCAGGCCGTTAAATAAATTAAGTCTGCCGTCCCTTTCAGGAAGCTGGAGTGTACCAGTTGACAGGCGCTATGTCATTTGTCCTTCAATCATTTGTCCTACACATCATTTGTCCTATACGGTGGGGGAAAACTTCATTTGTCCTACACATCATGCATTTGTCCTACGGCTCATTTGTCCTACACATCATTTGTTCTACAGAGAGGAGATACCATCGTTTGTTCTACACTTCGATTGTACTCTTCACTTCAATTGTCCTACGGAGAGAGAGAAACATCATTTGTCCTACAATTGTCCTACAGAAATACAATGATTTTCCTGAAATGGATAACATCATTTGTTCTATAGTAATGTTTAAAAAGTTGAATTTAATTTCATTTAATATGTTCAATAATATGCTGTCATCTCACCTTATTTTGGATTAGATTAGGTTAAGACAATTTATGGGCCGAGCCCTGCGACTAGGATGGGCTAGAGGACCGAGCGCAGCGGCATCTTGAATGTTAAATAATATGAACGTCTCTCACCTTATTTTGGGTTAGGTTAGGTTAAGACAATTTCTAGGCCGAGCGCTGCGGCTAGGATGGGCTAGGGAGCCGAGCTCTGCGGCCTCTTAAATGTAAAATAATGAGCTGTCTCCCAAATTTTTTCCCTCGTTGTGTCACATTTTTTGACCCTACGTCATTTTACCCTTAGTAAATATGTTTAATATAAATAGTTAAGGTAACAGATATATATATATGTATATTTTTTTTATGATGTGTAGGACAAATGATTGTAGGACAAATAATTTCAGGGCACGTGATTGTAGGACAAATAATTTCATGGCACGTGATTGTAGGACAAATGACATAGCGCCCCAATTGACACTGATATTGGATGTCAAATTTTAAATATTCTGTAGTTTACGTGCAATCATTTATAACTACAGTGAGAACCAGTAATTGTGGAATAGGTAGACGACATTAAGCAATAGTTAAGTGTATTTTATGGCGTTACAAAGCAAAAAGCTTTACAAGTAACCTATCCAATCATTTATTTACTAAAATGGGTCTGCTTACACTGCACAACTGCTGTGTCTCATGTGCATCGGACTTTTTAAAGTTATAACTTGAGTCTAAAAGTCCACTTCCTATTCCAGAGTATAATTTTACGGTTATTAACTTAGTTTTATACCAGTTTAATCATAGATAAATTCCTAGTCCTAAGAGCGTAAAGGATTTCCAAATATTGATATTTTTCATACATTCAATCGTCTTCTTATATTAACCAAAATATATTCCAGTTCAAAACTAATAAATTATACAGAATTTATTAGTTTTCAAAAGGAACTGAGTTCTTGTCACAAACTTTAATTTTCTAATCACCATGAAGTAAACAAATTGATATTTCAAATTTAACTGTTTGATTTAACAGAATACTTAAAATATCAAATGTCTATAACATCAGGTTGCAAAGCTACGGAGATTTAAAAAAAGAGTTTGTTGCAAGAACTGTTTCTAATATATTGAAAATTTAAACATTTATATAATCTTTGCTCGAAAAAAACGCTTAGTCAATCAAATTCAACCTATTTTATGCTGGAAAAATATTTGAGAAAAATTCAAACTTTTGATTTTTTTAAAGTGTTATTCAATATTTATAGTTATGTTTAATATTCTTGTACTTTCCAAATTATATCTTTTATCTAATGCTCTGATTAAATAAATAAATAAAAGTTTGTTCTTCAAATGTTACTAGAAAAATGAGATAAAAGCGAATCTTACAAAAATCTGCAAATATAATATAATTATTTAAGTCAATGATTTGCTAATAATCTTTCAAAATTCCTTTTTGTATCTTTACAAAATCTTCAGTTTAAAAAAAAGAATTTTTAATTGAAGAAAAAAACAATAAGTTATTATTCGCTAAAATCCCAAATTTATATATTTTAAAATGCAAGAAATTTTTAAATAATAATTAAGAAAGTAGTAAAACACTTTCTAAGCAAGAAAGATAACAATGTTTCATAAGAAAGAAATCTTTTTAAGATAAGGACAATTCTAAGGAATAACAAAAAGTGCATTAATATCTCAATTATTGATAAATGATTTTTTTTTTTTTTTTGAAAAATAATATGAAAAAATATTATTTTTATCTGTTCATTAGTGAAATAAACTATCAAAAATCAGACAATACATAAATATAAAAAAAAAGATTGCGCAATTTTCAATATAAGAAAAAACTAGCACTTTGTTAGTAACTTCGAGCTACCAAAATCATCTCGTACAAATTGTTCAAGATTAGGATCATAATGTTAGAAATATCTAAACAAACTTTAAATTTTTACCAAAATGTTCAATATTCCAAATAATTTCTTATAATAGCGTTCAATTGTGTTCTAATTGTTATCATTGACGGCTTTTTGCGTAACAAAACTTTTGAACAAATTAATAATTCTTATCAGTTTGTATAAATTCAATGTTTTTTGTTTCTCTCTTTTATTACTACAAGAAAAGGTGAGAGAGCTGTTCCTTATTATGTATACTTAAAAGAGGAATGTATTTCTTTTAAATTGACTATATGTAATTTATCCATCTGTTCCATAAATGAATAAATTTGGGAAAATTGAATTTTAACTATTAAATGAATTATTACTTGTGTATTGTAGATTTTTTTAGGATGAAAAAAACAGTAAGAACATTGTTCCTACTGGGACTGCTAGGGTTTTCCCAAGCTAATATTACAGATGATGAATGTGAGGATCAAGAGTTTCATCTTGATCCAGATGATTGTCCAAACAGTTATTATAGATGTTACAAAGGCCCAAATGTAAGTATTATTGTTAACTTAATGTAAAAAAATTTGGATTTGACTTGTTATTTTCTTCAGAATAGTTGGAGTGTAGAGCATCATACTTGCCCTCCTGGTACAGGATTTAATCCAGCAATTGGTAACTGCGATTGGACTGGCAACCTTCCTAGCAATATATGTGATGGTGTCACTCACAAGCCTACAGGACCGACAGAAAGTCCAACAACAACTGTAGTGGATCACACAACAACCAGTTCTTCAAATCCAGGAAACAAGAAGAGACTTGTGTGTTATTTTGGGGCTTGGGCATTCTACAGAATTGGATTTGGACAGTTTGACATAGATAACATTGATCCTAATCTATGTACACATCTTTGTTATGGCTTTGCTAATATGAATAACCAGACTTGGGAGGCTGTTGCTTATGACCCATGGTACGATCTTGCACCTTGGGATGAAGGATGTGATGGAGATCATTGCCATTATGATAGTTACAGAAGGTTTAACGCTCTTAAACAACAGAACAGTGAGCTTAAAACTCTTTTGTCCATTGGAGGATGGAATACAGGATCAGGACAGTGGTCTATTATGGCAGCAGATCCCAGCAAAAGGTCAATTTTCATAAAAAGTGCAGTAAAATTAGCCACAACCTTTGGTTTTGATGGAATTGATTTTGACTGGGAGTATCCCGGAGACAGGGAAGGGTCTGACCCTGAGCATGATAAGGAAGATTTCACACTTCTTGTAGAAGAATTTTCATCTGCCCTACAAGCACAAGGTCTCATTCTTACAGCAGCAACATCTCCTGACCCAGTAAGATCTGAAATTGGGTATGACATTCCTAGAGTAGCTGCAGCACTAGATTTTATCAATGTAATGGATTATGATTATCACGGAGCCTGGGACAACTTTACAGGTGTTAATACACCCCTTTATGGAAGAGTTGAGGAAGATGATGTAAATCATCCAGGACATTTTTTCAATGTTAATGATACAGTTAATTGGTACATAGATAGTGGTATGCCAAAAGAGAAGATCAACATAGGAACAGCAGCTTATGGAAGAGGGTTTACATTGCCAAAATATTCAGAGAACACTGGACTTTATTGTCCAGCAATAGGAGGAATGCCTGCTGGACCGTACACCAGACAAGATGGTATCTGGGGATATCTGGAGATTCTTCAAGCTTTTAACAATGCATCCCTTGTTAATCTACCAGGGGCAACTCCCAAAGAATGGCAAAGAGTGGTTGATGGATGTTACATGGCACCTTATGCTGTAAATGGACCTTACTGGATTGGTTATGATAATGTGGAATCTATTGCTTTGAAGGCAAAGTATGCAAACACAATAAATGTGGGTGGAGCAATGTTGTTTGCACTTGACCTTGATGACTTTGATGGACTTTATGGTGAAACATATCCATTAACTCGAGCTGTTCGCGCTGTATTAGATTCTGGAGAAGGTTTAAAACCTGATCAAATTCTAGGAGAAAACTCTGGATGTGAATCTGCACCTATTTGTGACATAGCTGGATGAATTTTTTAGTTTGTTAATACTGCTATGGAGTAAAGATTAATTAACAATGAACATTAAACAATGAACCTATGGTTATTATATTTTTTTTCTGAATAAAGTGGATTACCTGTAAAGTCAGTATTAGGAGAGAGGTAGTTGACTGAAACCCTTGATAATATTACATAACTGGTCTGTAGTGTGTACCTAGAAAAACTTCACCTTTAAAACTTAAAAAAGAATTGTAGTGGCTAAAATTCAAATTGTGATAAATGAACTCCCAAAGTTATTTATTTACACTGACAAGTGTTCACTGACCAATATTAAAATGTAGGCAAAAAATTAACACCTGGAGAATCAATAATTGGTCAATCTCTGTACAAGCAGTGTGAATGTAAACCTCCTTAAATCAAGTGTGAATAGAAAATATAATTTTGCTGTGATTTAACTTTTATTTATTCTTATCAAAGATCAGACTTTGGAGTATTTATAGCCTTTATTCTGTAAATAGAAATCAATGATTAAAAGAAAAGAGGTAACTCAGTAAAAGGTTCTGGTTGATACAAACCCATTCATAATTAAAATATGATTACCCCCTCTCCCTCCCAATTTTATTGTTTAAACTGATTGGAGATATAATTTTATTAGGATTAGAATAGGAAACATCATATACTACCCAACAGAATTAGAATAGGTAATAGGATATATAACCTATTAGGATCAGAATAGGAAACATGATATACTACCTATTAGGATTAGAATAGGAACCATGATATACTACCTATTAGGATCAGAATAGGAAACATGATATACTACCTATTAGGATTAGAATAGGAACTAGGATATACTACCTTTTAGGATCAGAATAGGAAACAAGTTGCACTACCTATTAGGATCAGAATATGAAAAAAGATATACTTCCTATTAGGATGAAAATAGGAAAGAAGTTATACTACAATTAGGATCAGAATAAAAACATGATATACTACCTATTAGGATCAAAATAGGAAACAAGATATACTACCTATTAGGATCAGAATAGGAAACAAGATATACTACCTATTAGGATCTGCTGGGGCATGATCCAGGTCCAGTAATCGTGATATTTCGCCCTAAATAGATATACAGTGGTAGGCGATTATGTCAATAGAAGTAAGACGACTTTTTTATTTAAGTTTTGATCTTAAACAAGCTTTTTTCTAAATACAAGTTTACTATAAAATCAAAGAGAAGCCTTATTTTAATTGACAGCTTCTTTTTACTGCTATGTCCACACTGTTAAACAGCTTGATATAAATCAGAATTGAAATCGAAAGTCGTCTTCATTGTATTATTATAATTGCCTACCACTGTCTATTTTTAAACTTTATAATGTAATTTCAGACCAGTTTAAAGGCCGGAAACAGAGATTACATGTTTTCAAGTATTAGCCTTGTTCAGATTCAAAATTACAGTGCACTACATCTATATATACATATACTTTGCTTTTCTGTCTGTTTGTCTGTTTGTTTGTTTGTATCCAAAAAAACGTCAAATTTTGTGTGGGACCTCACATGACCCCAGGAAAGGTTTATGGATTATCAAAATTTCAAAAATTAGCCTCCCAACAAAATTAAATTGTCAGTACTTTACTTTCATATTTTTTTATAAAATCTGCGAACTTTTTTTGTTATTGTTTTACAATATGTTTTCAAAGAGAAAATGTTCACAATTAGAATAAAGATGAGTTCAAAGCGCCCTAAAAGCCTAGTAATTATCAAGAGACTAGAGTATTTAAAATTCTGACGAGAAAAATAATTTTTCATACAAAACTATAGAAAATTAAAGTTATTGATCCCAACTTTAAAGAAATAACTGTAAACCTAACTAGTCTCGCAAATCTAAAGATAAGAAACTAAATTCTTACATGACTGTGTATATGTATCCTGTTTAATTTGACGATATATAAAGAAGGGGGGGGATAGGTCCCCCTTAATTCTATTTCCTACATTTCTTTTGTACTCTTTCCCCTATTCTATACATCTAACAACTCTGATTTTATTTTTTCGATGAACTCTCTCAAATTAGAGAAATTATATAATACTGTAACAAGACGAGTTGTGTAGAGAATGAATCATGTAATTGTAATAGAGTAAATACTAACTTTACAGGCTGTTTGAAGGTAGGGCTTCATGTGGCAACATGTTTCATCCATTTCCATACTGAAAAATGTCATTGATAAATACTTAGAAGTTAAGCAAATGCTATAAATAGAAAAATAAATAAATTCTAGTTCTGATCAGAATTCTTGCTGAATTCTTAAAAATTGAGCTAGGAGTCAAGATCTAAAATTGAACTAGGAGTCAAGGTGTAAAATTGAGCTCGGAGTCAAGGTGTAAAATTGAGCTCGGAGTCAAGGTGTAAAATTGAGCTCGGAGTCAAGGTGTAAAATTGAGCTAGGAGTCAAGGTGTAAAATTGAGCTAGGAGTAAAGGTGTAAAATTGAGCAAAGAGTAAAAGCGTAAAATTGAGCAAGGAGGAAAGGTGTAAAATTGAGCTAGGAGTAAAAGTGTAAAATTGAGCTAGGAGTAAAGGCGAAAATGGAGCAAAGAGTAAAGGTGTAAAATGGAGCAAGGAGGAAAGGTGTAAAATTAAGCTAAGAGTAAAGGTGTAAAATTGAGCCGGGAGTAAAGGTGTAAAATTGAGCTAGAATAGAAGTAAAGAAAAGGAGTATGATTGAGCTGAATGTGTAATAAAGCTGGAAGTAGAGGTGTATAGAATGGAGCTGGGAGTAGAATTGAGAAAACATTTTTTAAAGATTTTTGAAAGGAATTCTTCCCGCAACCCTCAAAAAGTAAGGGCACCATGAGTTTACAGAAGGATACATTATAATATGTAGTCCTTAAATTGGGACTATAGTGTGCTACAAAGGGCAGGAGGGGGTTAGATAAGGATTTCCTAGGGGAGGGTAGATTTTAACAATGTGCGATTTTATTAATTTCTTTATTTATACCATAAAGGTTGTCCATTATAAATTGAGACTTTTTGAACAGCTTATAAAATGGATAAGTCACCAATATGAAAAATCTGTGATGATCAGCCACCTGTGTTCTGGGAGAGCTTTATATTAACATATAGTGCAAGTACACTACTGCATTAAATAATCGATTTTTTGGTAAAATTTATCTATGTTAATTACTTCAAGATGATTGAGTAAAAATGGACGAGGGAGGAAAGGCAACCTCCCCGCACAGCTTCCGAACGTCATTTTAACTATTTGCGGCAGTGCACGTCCCCATAGGGCTTCCGAACCTCTCCAGGACTAAGTCGATAATTTAAGCACGCTAGTCATAGTCAACAATCAAAGTTTTGAAAAACCAAAACATTGTAGATTTTGTTTCTTTTCATTGGATATCAACTTTCTAAACGGGG